ACTTTCCAGTCATTAGCATCTTGTGCTTTCCATTTGAAGAGAAAGGAAGCCTCATGCCTCATATACTGTAATATGTGACAGCACCCAAGTTAAGGTGATTCCTTAGTATTGCATTGCGCATCCCTACTACACACAATTTTCGCTCATTAGCGCACGCACATGAGTGCGTGCACGTACAAAACTTAAGACATTTCCCTCAAACTAAGCTTGATAGCAAAATAAATGCTCCTTTTCTCTTAAATGAGCACAGTGACCCTCACTTTTTATTTCATAATTTCACTGAGAACAATATCCTCAATAACTGAGAAAAAAATTAGCAGAAATCTCTGGCTACTTTTTTGGCGAATGAAATAAATACTACAGAGGGAGACATAATGGGCCCAACAGCGCACGTCCAAATTATGTTTCCTTTAAAGGATAAAAAATACAGGGTATTTGAGGGCGTTTTTTCTAGGACGTAGATGAATAAACAATCAAAGAAAGTTAAACTCTGCGTGATATAACACACTGTATTGAAAAATAATCAAGCTTATCTGTTGCACACAGAGGTTACCAAAAGTCACCTAAATAACCATATTTGTCAGCATTGTGGCATGAAAACAAGCACGGTGACCCCCTCTTTTTACTACCTTTTTAATATCTCCTTGACCTGCAACAACAGCATACCAAGTTTTGTCGGAAATCTATGGCGGGTTCTTTTACTAGGGAATCACCTTAACTACCAGTGTTCTTAACATCTTAATAAATTGAAGTAAATGAAGTTTTTTTCTTATTTTGACCCGTCCTCCCCCTTCACCTCAACAAAAACTGTAACATGAAAGAAAATAGAGCTTAAAATATTGGAAATTTCTGCTTATAGGTGTCNCATGGATAATTAATGTTAGACACTGAACTTGTGTACTAGGAAAATTAATTTCAAAAGCAATTTTGAAAAATAATCAAGCTTATCTGTTGCACACAGAGGTTGCCAAAAGTCACCTAAATAACCATATTTGTCAACATTGTGGCGTGAAAACAAGCATGGTGACCCCCTCTTTTTACTACCTTTTTAATATCTCCTTGACCTGTAACAACAGCATACCAAGTTTCGTTGGAAATCTATGGCGGGTTCTTTTACTAGGGAATCACCTTAACTGCCAGTGTTCTTTTCATCTTAATGAATTGAAGTAAATGAAGTTTTTTTCTTATTTTGACCCGTCCTCCCCCTTCACCTCAACAAAAACTGTAACATGAAAGAAAATAGAGCTTAAAATATTGAAAATTTCTGCTAATAGGTGTCATAGAGGAACTTAACAAGCAAATGTCCAGTAGGAATACTAAATTTTAACTGTGCAAACAAGTGTCAATGATATCGTGCTTGATGACATAAGGAACAAAAATCTGGAGATTCAGAGAATGAAATGTTTTTGTATCAGAAAACTTTCAAGTTTAAAAATGTTCATGTTAAAAATGATAAAGCTTCTACATTATAAAGACAAAATACTCATGCCATAATTTTTAATTTTCAAGGACATTCTCTTGCCAAGCATAATTGATTTTTTAGATACCTTTCTGATGTTGTCCTTTTCTGCCGAGAACAAAAGAAGTGTCAATAATTATTTTCGATGTAAATTTTAAGCTGGCTGATCCAGGTTGCTTCATAAGAATATAAATATTCCTCATGTATTAAACACTTGTTTGCACCATGGTATTACATACTTGCCAACATCACAAGATCATTATTGTATACACATACCAGGACAAAATTTTATCACTCCACAACTGACCCCAAGCCTGGTTGCAAACCATGTAAAAATTCCGAGTGATAAAAAGGTGTGTACTTTGATCATACACTGTTTTATATTTACGAGAGATTAAGAGGGATTCTGCTCAAAGTTTGAGTAATAAGTGCAAAAATTATTTACTGAAAATCTACTTCTAGCACGGTAACTTCTTGAATTCTATCTAAAACAACTCACTGTAATTCATTTCTCTAGGTGATCCCGCGATTAAATCCCCAGGCATTCTTGAGAAATTTAATGGCAAACCTTGTAAGAATGCTTAAAGCGTATGTTATTGTGTTTTCAACTAACGTGGAACGTCCGTTTTAATAGAAATATGGATAACTTCAAGTTCAGTTTGTAGCTCCAGGCGTCGTAACAACGTTGGAATGTCGCAAGAGATAAATAGATTATGAGGACTTCGCTCAAAGTACCGATTTCAAACACCAAAGACTAAGTATGATTCCAATGTGATTTATTCGTATTAGCCGTGATTTGATGTCCAAAACCGTCAAACTAAAATACAATCAAAAAAGCTAGTCTAAGTGACACGAAATGCTAAAACTAAAATAACCATTACATAACACGAATACATATTAAAATACGCGAGTGCGAGGAAATCTAAAATACAACAATTGACCAAGAAATGCAATGAAAAGGGCAAGGAAGGAAATACATGCTTACTGATTGTCCTCTCTGTANAACACGAATACATATTAAAATACGCGAGTGCGAGGAAATCTAAAATACAACAATTGACCAAGAAATGCAATGAAAAGGGCAAGGAAGGAAATACATGCTTACTGATTGTCCTCTCTGTAATGCCTGAATACACAAGTCGCAAGATAAACGCAGTGACCTTCGCAATGAGCTCTCTTGTGTAAAGCAACTATCGCAAAACGATAACGCATGAGGTATGACATATGATATCGAAGCGTTCCTAATACGCAACAAAGACTAATACTTAACAGAGAATAATACTTAACTGAAAATAATACATAACTCGACAACAATTACACAGTTTTATCTCGCAGGGTCAGCTTGAGAGCTAAGGCCTCGATAAGATCTTCCTACCTTTATTCAAAATATTACCATGCCATGAGGTTGTTTTGGTGACTTAATTCTTGCCATTATTGCTTGAATGTTCTGCAGAAATCATTCTAAGAAGCAAGATCTAGGATGATTGGCAAGTATAAAAAAAAGAACTGACTGATTCATTCTCGCAAAAAATTCCAGATTTATGAATAATATGGTTATTTTGAAGGTGCTCTATTACTACCATGAAACCCAAGTAGGTTGAGCAAATTATGTATTTGTACACTACTGAACAACACTTCGTTGCCTGGGTGAGGCTGACCACAGAATTGGTCTTTTACTGTTTCCACAGCTAGCATTCCATTGTTAAAGAGCTGAGAATTAAGAAAAGAGAAAAATCAGCAATATGATTGAATAATAACTAAAACACCATATAATTTCAGTCTTATGTTTATTAGCCCCAGTGAAACTTGTTTGCTTTGTTGGTTGTAAATCAGTCAGTTGTCTATACACAATGTAGTGCATCATTCTGTGAAGTATAATCTGTATAGACAGGCCATCTGTAGACCTGGCTGCCTGCCCTATTTAACTCTCTAGTTAATTCAGGTACTCAGGCCCATAACTCTATTAACATACAACTTTGTAAAATATTTCTGTGAGACTAAGGGAATAAAGCTTGTTGTTGTTGTTGTTGTGGTGGTTGCAATTGTCGGCAGCCACTCGGTCAAGCGTCAGCAGAGTTCAAGTATCAGTGACAGTGTTTCAGTGTCAATGGTACATGCATATTGGTCAAGTATTTAGTGGAATACCACTCAAATGATGGTGGTATATCACTCAAGGG